CCGCGTGCCGCGGGGGAGTCTGGGAGGGGCCTTTTCCCGGGCGGGCGCGGCTCCCCCTGGCGGCGGCCGGGCGGCGCTGGTGGCGCGCAATCAGGCGTTCTCCGCGGGCAGCCGGCCGGCGGGGCCTTGCCTTCAGCGCGGGGTCCTCGGCGGCCTGGGTGGCTGCTGCCCCTGCTGCTGTCGTAGACGGGGACGGCTGTTGGTGCGGTTGCTGTTGGTTCTCGGCGGCGGCGGCAGCGGAGGGAGAGGGCGAGGCGACGGGGAAGAAGGAGGCCGGCGCGGCGGCGGCGCCCGGGGGCCGGAGGCGGCGAGGGGGGGGAAGATGGCGGACGTGCTGAGCGTCCTGCGACAGTACAACATCCAGAAAAAGGAGATCGTGGTGAAGGGAGACGAAGTGATCTTCGGGGAGTTCTCCTGGCCCAAGAATGTGAAGACCAACTATGTGGTGTGGGGGTGCGTCTGGCGCGGCGTCGGCCTTGGGGGGCGTCGGGGCAGAGTGGGGCGACCTCTCTCCGGACCCCTCCCCCCTGCCTCGGGGCTGGGGCTGCGGGGAGCCGGGGGCTCGGGGAGAAAGTTACTCCCGGGAGCCGAAGTTGCACTTTTGGGGTGAGGACGGAGGAGATGGGGGTGCGCCCCGGGCCGTCTGTCCTTCCCAGGCGTGGCGAAGCGGCAGGGACTGTCTGACTTTCCACTTTCCCAGCCCGTTTTTCGCCCGTCGGTGGAGTGCGGGGCGGTGCGCGCGTCCACCTGCACCAGGTACTCGAGCGCACAGGCTCTTTTTGTTCTGACCGGTCCTCTCTCGGAGGCTGCCGGGGGTGCAACTGTCGCCGAGGTCCTTCCCCTTTCGTCATTCCTGGCGGAGGGAGAGGCAGGGATGGAATCGGGGGGCGAGGACCGGACTTGGGGGACTTGGGGGATTTGCAGGAGTCGGGTGCAGGGCCAAGCAGGACTTTGTGAGGGGGAGAGAGTTCCGGGGGAGGGGGACCGGCAGACGGGAGGAGTCGATGCGGTGTGGTCTTGCTGGAAGAGAAGTGTTGGAGAACGTGGGTCCACGCTTGCCGGGGGTCTCAGTCTCTCGGGAATCATCTTGGGTCAGGTTTAATAATCATTTGGGGCCTCTTTAACGGTGGCATTGTCATCGGTGCTTCTTTGGGCCAGAACTTTGCTACCCCAATGGACTGAGGAACTTTAGGAGGAGTCAGTGAAAAACTGTGGGAATTTTTAGCTTTTTTGTTTGTTTGCCTTATGGTTAGTTAGCTTTATGAAATGTTGATGAAATGATACCGTTCTGTTCCCTCTGTCTTATCCTTTCAGAGATACTGCACACACAGGATTATAGTTGATTGGAATTTTAATGGATATTTTTCCTTGGAAATTGGTTAGTGAGTACTAAAGGCAGTGTAATCGGGAAATAGAAAAATTCCAATCCCCTCACTCTGAAAAGAAGAGCAGATAAAGGGACGTGAAATGGTTTCCAGCTTTAAGAAAACAGTCCTAGTTGAGGGTATTTAGGGAAGGTTCCGGAGAAGTGTGTTTGACATGTGTGCACCCCACAACGTTTTCTTGGATAAATGGATGAACAAATGAGTAAGTTTTAAAGAACGGGTAGGAATCCAGTGAGTGAGACGGTGGGCTGCTCTTCTAGGATGACATAACTGTACATACACCTAAAGGCATGGTCTGGAAAGAGAACATGTTTTGACAGCAGTTCATTGAAGCCAGCAGAAAAGGAATGCTTAAATTTCAAACTTTTTCAACAGCAAATCACACAAGAGTTATTTTCATTTTCTATGTGTGTGTGTGCCCATGTATAAATATACATGTAGAAACATTAAATAATACCTTATTGCATTCAGTGCATTCTGTTATTTTTGTCTTCTTTTTTATAGCATAAGAAAAAAAGCCTGCTTGAATTGAATTACTTTGTACAGTAATTGGCAAATGATGTGTGGCTTGAATTATATTGATTTAGAGGAAAAGTGATAATAGAGGCTAGAAAAGTAGGTTTGGAGCTGGTTATTGTGGGCTATATTCAAAGGAGTTCACACAATACAGTTGAATATGATAGGTAGATGTGGGGGACATGTCTTATGTATTAAAGAGCTTGCACCAAGACAACCTTTTTTTTGTGGTACTGGGGTTTGAAGTAAGGTCCTGGTGCTTGCTGTAAGGAGGTGCTAAGGAGCCATGGCCTCAGCCCTTTTTTTGCTTTAATTATTTTTCATGTAGGGTCGAAAGGTGTTGCGTGGGGCTGGCCTTAGACTGTCATCCTCCCTATGCCTCATGTAGCTAGAATTACAGACATGTTCCACCATGCCCAGCTTATTTGTTGGGATGGGGCCCCAACTAACTTTTTGTGCAGGTTGACCTTGAACTGTGAACCTTCCGATCTCTGTTTCCTAAATAGCTGGTATTACAAGCGTGAGCCACCATGTCTGGCCCTAATTTGAGGGATGTTATAAGAATCATACTTCTTTGTGATTGCTATTTGCTGTGAGAATTTGTGTTCAGCAGCATCTTGTTCAAAAAGAGCTATAGGATAAATTTCTTGAAACTTCAGCACTAACCATAGTGCTTGTAAGCAGTTTGGTTGCTTGATTGGATCTTTTCCAGTGTGTAACTGCTTGGATTTCTTTCTTTATTGACAATGCCCAGAGCCTAATTTGATTCTAATTCTAAAAAGTGTCTGCAGTACTTTAGAGTGTGAATTTGTGCTGTCCCCATTTCTTGCATTTTTTGTCTTCCTTAGTGTTTTTTTGCCCTAATGAAAGCCTACTTACTAGATTTGATAGTTCGTGTGTGTTTCTGTTAGCCATGTTAAGCGCATTCTTGGATAGCCAGGTGGGTATACATAACAGAATACATGTAACAAAGCACAAAGTATTGGATCCAAATTGTGAATAAAAATCTTGCCTTAATATTTCAGAACCGGAAAGGAAGGCCAACCCAGAGAGTACTACACATTGGATTCCATCTTATTTCTGCTTAATAATGTGCACCTTTCTCATCCTGTTTATGTTCGACGTGCAGCTGTAAGTAGAACTCATTTTACAACTTGGGTCTTTTTCTTCATTGGTCAGTAGGCATCATTTGGCATGTCACTTTGCTCATGGGTTTCACGTGTATGAAAGTCTCTTGGAGGTCAGAACTAGGCTACTAGCTAATTCATGCACATTTTTTAATCTGTGATTTTTTTTTTTAATGAAAATATGGATAGTGCTTATAGCAGTGGATGTTTTAAAGGCACTTATATAGATGTTTTTAAGAATTTATAAACCAGTGGAAGGATCCTGATAAGTCTGCATTTTTAATTTCAAGAAAACTTTTTTCGTCATTTGAATGAGTGTTAACAGACAGCTTTTCAGAATTAATTTTTTAAACACCTTAACAAAGTTATTTTCATACTCTATTGATAAGTTCATTTTTATCAGTTTTGCCTGCTTTCTCAGTGTTTGAAGTTTAGTACTTAGAGGAAGTCTTTAGGGATAACTTGAAAATGACTGATTTCATGGAGACTGGTGATGAGATCCTTCCATCTGAAGGGAAGTCATGTATCTTAATTGGTAAGTAAATAGTTTCAGAGTTATTTGAGTATGATACCAGTGTGATGTATCGTAATTTCCATAATATGCAAATAAGATGCCCCCCAAAATAATCAGTTTGGAGAGTACAACCCTCAAATTCATGTTGGTAGAGTTGAACATAAACTTATTTTTAGAGATATTCAGATAATCAAATATCTGCTCTTAATGTTTTAACTTGCAAGTTCATACTTTATTGAGATGTGTTAATTTTTAAATAGTACTCTTTTTTATTTCTTGTTCAAAGTTTTATTCAGGCCTTCATAAATATCACTGTATCTGTCATCACTAGAGCTGCTTTTTGAGTTATCTGTTAGATTGCCTGAAGCCGTGTGAAATTTACTTTCGTAACCTCTTCCTTCTAACTAGTTGGATAGTTCTGGTTTTATGTGAGGTTCTTTTAAACAGTACTCTGTTACTTAAAGGGCTTTAATAAGACTGCTTTTCTGAGGGGGAAAATATATTTAGTGCTTACTTTTTATTAGATAAAATTAGGGTGAAACTACTTGGGAAATGGCAAAGTAGTTGAATTCAAGTTATTTTACCTCATATTAGATTCCCCCCTCCCCCACTAGACCCAAGGCCTCGAGTATGCTAGGAAGTATTTTACTATTTGAGCCACAACCATAGCCCATAGTGATCTTTAAAAACTGAATTAGGCAGTAATTAGAATGTTTTGTTTTATACAGCTATTCCTTTTGGGATAATAAAGGTAATTTAGTACTGTTTTAGATTTATATGTTATGTTCATATAGAATGACCACATAGAATACTAATGATTATAGTTGTTACTGTGGCCCTTAGGACCATTGGTCGCATAACACTGAACTCTTTATTTTTCTTAATATTTTCCAAATTGAAGGGGCACAGTTCTAAAATTCTAGGGTTCTACAAATTAGAGGTTGTTCTTCGCTAATTCCTTTATTTGCTCTTTCTTGTGAGTAGACCATTCCTGAGATAGGTATTCCCAACCCATAGTGCCATTCTTGTGCTGGGAGGCTTATATCTGTTTCAGTTGACTGTGATGTGTACATAGCTCAATAGTGATGAAGTGTATTAGACGTAGAAACAGTAATTAAAAACAACAACTCAAATATTTTAACTGTTTATAATATTCCAGGTAGGCTGGTTTAAAAAAAAAGGACAAAAAAACTTTTGGGCTTTTAAGCTTTTATACTTACAAAGGGGAAACTAAAATTTAGCCTGATCTTTAAAAAAAAAAAAAAGATTAATTTATAAATGATTAAATATAGCTCAACAAGTCAACAATGAGTAAGTGTAGGTGTTTGGTATAGAGAAGTGTGACCGGTAGTCATTGTGAGCCTCTTGGCTGGTGACACTGAGGGTTGTTATTACTTTATTCTTGCTCATCTAAGGTGACAGAGAACTTAAACTGTCCTATGTTTAGACATTCTTTCCATTAGAAAAATGACATGGAAAATTGAGATAATGGCAGTCATTGAATTCATGGCCCAAACATGACTTGATGCCTGAAGTGTACATTTTACTTGTTTTGTTTACTTTTTTTCTTTTTTTTACAAATTGCTAATACAGGCCATTAGAGGAATCTCATCCATTTTTCTGAAATAGATATGTTTTTTCAGATTTAATTTTTTTAATCTTTTTTCCCCTGCTTACAGAATTTATACACTCTTAAGGACAGAAAGAAATGTATAATGTAGAAGGTAAACAACCAGCATTAACATTTTCCTATATAATCTCTTGTACTTTATTTCATAATACATACTTGTTAATTATAAAATCTAGCTTCAGTGGTTAATATAGTTTATTTGGAAGAGTTCAAGTTGAATATTTTGAAGAAGCCTAGATTGTGTATGAGAAAACACTGCAGACATTGTATGAAAGGAGACAGTAGTGAGACTGAAAAGTTACTAGTCTCATCTGCATAGGAGTGCAATTAAAAATCAGTATTGGAGCAAGTTGAGGGGAAAAAGACTGGAACTGATATTTTGGAAAGGGATAGGGTCATTGCTTTTTTTTTGAGTAACTATCTTTAGTATATCTTCCTAAAATTTCAAAAGTAGAATTACTACAAATGAAGATGCTTAAAAACTTTTGGGCTAGAAGTGTGGCTCAAGAGGTAAAGTGTCTGCCTTGCAAGTGTGAAGTCCTGAGTTCAAACTCTAGTACTGCTAAAAAACAAAAATAAAAACTTTCAAGATTTTAAGTTCTTTTAGTTGGGCATATTTTTTGGGTATACTGGGGCTTTAACTCAGGACCTCACATTTGCTAGGCAGGTGTTCTGCTACTTGTGTTACTCCTCCAGCTAGTTGAGCATTTTTTGACAAATGTGATTTTTAAATATATGTTATCAAAGTGTGTCGGAATACATTCAAACTTCATATAGTTGTTATCCATTTAATATCTAATTTAAAATTTTGGCCTCAGACTGAAAATATTCCTGTGGTTAGAAGACCTGATCGAAAAGATCTACTTGGGTATCTCAACGGTGAAGCGTGTAAGTAGTTTTTGAATTGTTCTCACTCCTTTTCTCCCCCTAGTACTGGGGATTGAATTCACTGTGTTGTGCTTGCTAGGTGAGTGCTCTACCACTTGAATCACACCCTAGTCTATTTTGCTTTTAGTTTTTCAGATAGGGTCTTGTGCTTTTGCCCTATCTGGCCTCAGACCATGATCCTCATCTCTGCCTCCCAAGTAGCTGGGACCATAGGCATTTGGCATCATGTCTGGCCTGTTTTTGAGATAGAGTCTTGCTAAATTTTGTCTGGGTTGGCCTTGAACCATGATCTGCCTATCTCTTCAGCCTCTCAAGTAACTGGTATAAGTGTGTACCACCACCATACCCGGCCAGCTTTCACTCTTAAAATAGGCATTATTTCTTTTTTTCTTTCTTTCCCTATGAAGTAAGAAGCAGTGAGAAGAGAATTTCTATTTCCATTAAAAAAACTAACTTATCTAAAGCTGAGTCCATATGTTTCTCCTGCTAGTAGAAGTGAATACACAGTCTTTATTCCTAAGGCCAGTTATCCTCTCGTGTGTGAATTCTTTTCATACTCTCAAAGACTTTGCCTCTGTAAATTGTTGTTTCTGTCTTGTATTGTGATTTACCTTTTAGAATACATACAGGAAGATAGCTACTGTGTAAAAATGTTTTTGTCTCCCCATTCCTACTATTTACTGCTCCATTTGTCTTCTTCTACTGTAGAATTGTTTGCAAGAATTGGCATACCACTGCTTCTTCTTTACCTTTGTTTCTTTCTTGAAGCCACTCCTTTCTGGCTTTCATCCTCACCATGCTACTAATAATCACTCTTAGGTCAACAGTAACATACAGATTACCATATCCTTTGATTTCTTTTACTGTCCTTGGTCTGTCAGTAGTGTTTGATGGTGTTGATGACTCCTTTTTTTTGAAAGCCTTTCTTCACTTGGCATTTGAGGAAGAGGCTCTTTGGCTCTCTTTGTGCTTATTGTCCACCTCTCAGTATATTGGTTGCCTCTATGCCCAGAATCTGAGTTTTGAAGTTTTCTATGTCTTGACTCTTCTTTTTTTAAACCCTAAAATCTCTAGGGGATCTCTTCCAGTTTTATGCTTTAAATATCCTATACATTCTGATGAATTCCAGATACAGGTGACCCTTGAACATTATGGGTTTAATCTGTGCAGGTCCACTTTACTTTTTTTGGAGATTTGTGACAATTTGAAAAAAACTCATGTCGCCCAGAAATAGTGAAAAATTAAGAAAAAGTGAATGAATGAATGCATAAAATATATGTAGATATAGCCTGTTTTATCATTTACTACCATAAGGTATTCACAAATCTGTCATGTACAATTAAATTTTACCAAAATTTAGGAACATTGCATACTGTACGTGGTACCATTCATAGTTGAGAGCAATGTAAACAAACTAAAGATCCAGTATTAAATCATAACTGCACAAAATTAACTGTAGTCTATAATAATTTTATAGCTATCTTCTGTTGCTATTGTGGTAAGCTCAGGAGTTGCAGGAATCTGCTTAAAACACTGTGTGATGCTAAACACCTCTGTGAGCAGATCACCTCTCCAGTAAATTGGGTATTGTAGTAAAACGTGATCATGTGTGGTCTTGCATTTATTTACCCTATATAATATTTATAACATGAAATACATGTTAATTGACTATTCGTGTTACTGTTGAGGATTCTGATAAACAGTAGGATGTTAGTAATGAATCTTCTGAGTAGTCAGTTAATTCCCCTCACCCCTCTGTTGTTCAAGGGTCAGTGCATTGATCTTCCTTTGATTTCTTGAGCTCCACAATATAAATTCATTGTTACCATCTTTTGTAAGTTTAATGGGCATCTGAAATTTAACACATGTAAGGTAGAAAGGCCAATTTGCTCCTTCCCATTTATCCATACAAAACAAAAGCAGTGAGCCTGTTCATCTCAGTAGCGAGTAATTATACTCTATTCGTGCAGTTGCTTAGGGCCCAAACTGTGGTGAAATCTTTGATTTCTCTGACATCTCACATCTGTTCCATCAGCAAGTCCTTTTCTCTATCTCTCTGACAACTCTTCACCCTTCTACACCCACCCTTTTCCATCTGTTGTCTGTAGACTATTGTATGTTCTCCTCACAGGTTCTCACTCTTTATTTCCTTTAGTATAGTCTATGCCTATACTTGCATAGACTTGTAAACTTGACAGTCAAGCAAGTAACCTTGACTGTTCCACTCACCTGCTGAAGGCCATCTGTGGTTTCTCATTATGCTTAAAATAAAGATCATACCCCTTACCCTGAGCTCCATAATCTTTCTTCTGCTTAAGTCTCTGGGTCCTCAACTTCTCCCTTTGCTCACAACAGTCAGTCCCATTGGTCTTTGAGCGGTTGTAATTGTAGAGCCCTTGTACTTGTTCCTGTAGTTTGTTTTTGAGATAGGGGCTTGCTAACTTTGTCTGGGTTGGCCTTGAATTTGATCCTAGATAAATTGAGAGAAAATATTTCAACTACTATTACAGAAAAAGTGTCATTCTTGCCAATTAATACATGAAGTGACCATAGAAACATATGCAAAAAATTTCAACAACTTACTGGATTATAGTTGTTGTATATTCACAGAAAAGAGATGAAATCGTATGACATATGCTTACTTTCATTCATAATTAATTACAAATTTAAATGATGCAAAGATAGCATTTCTTTTAACCTTACACCTTGATAACACATTCTGGTGAGACTATGGGGAAATGTACCCTGTGGTGTTGGTTATAAAATTACTTGATACAGCCCATATTGAAGAAGTTGGTAACAAGTTATAATTATAAATTTGACATAGAAATCCTGCATCTGTAATTTTATTGCAGAGGTATATTTGAAAATGTATGAAGTGTTGTTCACATAGTTTTATTATGCTCTTGTTTCTAATGACAAATGGCTGTTGGAAAGCAATTGCTTATCCATAGGGCACTAGTTAAATAAATTACAATGAAACCATACAATAGCATACCCCAAAGCTGTAAAAAAAAAAATTAAGAAAATGCTGCACATACTGATGTGGAGGGATATCTGAGGCAAACTGTTATGTAACTGAGAAAGCAAGGCTCAGAACATTATGCATGGGGTACTACCTTTTGTGGTATACCACGGAAAGAAAAGGTAAAAGAAAACCATATTTCTTGTATCTACAGGAAGAAACGCTAGAAGAATATACAAGATACTAACAGTGGTTACATAGGGTGGTGGGAACGAGGTGGATGGGACAGGTACCCTCTTCTTATAGTTTCACTATGTTGAGCTATTCAAAAATTAAATGGTTTGAAAGATAATTGAAAGTTTTCTATCAGTTGTAACTAAAAATTATATATTTATTGTGTATGTTAACCTAAAAAATCTTTGATATGCGTATATTTATATGTTCATTTTAGATATACTTTTAATGTATGTGTGTGTCACAATGGAATATATTCTTTGAATTTACCAGTTAATTTCAGTCCTATCATCTCAGCAATATGTAAGCTTTAGTGTTAAAAATAGTTTGTCTTATAGGCTTTCTCATCCAGATTAATATCTTTAATAAAATACTTTTCTAAAACTGCTTTGAAACTCATTTTTGCCTAGGAAATTCCCTGTCCAAAAATGAGAAATAACAAAGTTTGAAGATTTCACTTGTACTAATAGCCAGTATGTAGTTCAAATACTGATCTGCTTCTATGAATCTTTTTAAATTTTCAGCAACATCGGCCAGTATAGACAGAAGTGCCCCCCTAGAAATAGGTCTTCAGCGATCTACTCAAGGTATGCCAGGTCACAGCTTTATTTTGAACTTTCAAAACTCCATCCTACAACTGTGCATTTATTTACTTTTCTTTTTCTTAAAGTCAAACGAGCTTCAGATGAAGTTTTAGCAGAAGCGAAGAAACCACGAATTGAGGTAATAGAACTTTATTTTTAAGATGATTCAGATTGTTACTGAGATTGAGATTATGTAGTAACAGGAGTTCTTTGTAGTTATTTTAGGACTTTTTTCCTCTGGAAGTGTTTTTGTAGTAAAAAGTTCATTAATAGTAATTTGAGCTTTGGTGTTAGCTTTTCACCTCCAGGCTTTGTGATGGACAAATCATTTTATTTTTTTCATTTTATATCCTTATTAGTGAAAATATTATAGTAGATCTGGGGTCAGGAAACTTTTTAGCTGGGTGTGGTGGCACACACCTCCATTCCCAGCAATTTGGGAACCAGAGGATCTCAAGTTTGAGGCCAGCCTTGGCAGTTAGCAAAACTCTATCTCAAAAACAAAACCAAAAGGGCTGGGGCATGGCTCAAGTGGTAGGAGACTCTCTGTATTCAGTCCACAGTATCACCCTACTGCGCCCTCCCCCAAAATAAAGAAAACTCTGATTATGTAAAACACCAGGCAGCAAATATTTTAGGTTGTCTGGGCCACAGTCTCTGTAGCAACTCCTCCACTCCTTCTATAGTGTGAAAGCAGTCATACATAGTGCACACATGAACAGATGTGGCTGGCTGTGTTTGAATACAGTTTTACAAAGTGGTGGGGAGCCAGAATTTGGCCTTGGACTTACAGGTTGCCTATCTCTAGAATAAGGTTGTGTGGGGATTTGCTTTATTCTTCAGAGTTGTGAACATGAAGTGCTTATTGTTACGTCATTAAAATATTGACATAATGTGATTTACATTTTTTGTAGCATTTTAGTTAGCAAATGTGATAATATTGATTAATAAGGATAGTGTTAGTCACTTTTTGTTGCTGAGAAAAGCAACTTAAAGTAGGAAAGATTTATTTAACTCACAGTTTTGGAGGTTTTAGCCCATGGTTGACTGGCTCTGTTGCTTTTATGTCTGTGACAAAGCAGAAGCATCATGGTGGAAGAAAGTTACCAACCTCATGGTAGACAGCAGGCAGAGAGAAACAGAGGAGAGGTCTGGGGACAAGCTAAATCCTTCAAAAGGCAACCTGCTAGTGACCTTCCTCCAACTAGGTCCCACCTCCTAATAGTCCATTCTGCTATGAATGGATTAATCCATCCATGAAATGAAAGCCCTTATGATCCAGTCACCTCCCCTTGCAAAAGCCCCTTAGCTGGCAACCAAACCCTTGACACATGAACTTTTGGGGGATACTTGGATTCCAACTGTTAATAGTTCACATGACATAGAAGCCACATAAGAAATGTAGTTCCCTTTGGAGATCTAGTATATAACACTGATTATACTTAGTAACAATGTATTGTATTTTGAAAATTGCTAAGAGAGTAGATTTTGTTTTTTGATGGGAGTGGGGTTTTGAACTCAGGGCTTTCTGCTTGCAAAGCAGATATTCTGCTTGAACCACACCCCCCAGGTCAAGAGAGTAGATTTTAAATGTTCTTAGCACAAAAAATGGTAAGTGTGTGAGGTAATACAAATGCTAATTAGCTTGATTGAGCCATGTCACTGTGTGTGCATGCTTCAAAACATTATTACTGGGCTGGCCCTGGGGCTCAACCTTGTAATCCTAGCTACTTGAGAGGCAGAGACTGAGAGGATCAAGGTTTGAGGCCAGCCCAGACAAAGTTTGAGACTCCAGCTCAACCAATAAAAGCTGAGTATGGTGGCATGCATCTGTCATCCCAGCTACATGGGGAATTACAAATTGGAGACATGGGCATAAATATGAAACCCTATAGGAAAAATACCTAAAGCAAAAAAGACTGGAGGTGTGGCTCAAGTGGTAGAGCACCTGCCTAGCAAGTATGTTGCCTTGAGTTCAACTCTCAGAACTGCCAAAAAACCCTCATACAATTATTCATAATGTACAGTTTTTGGCAGTTAAAAACCATGCAGTTACCTTTGGAAGGAAAATTTGTTGATCAGCTAGTATTCTGCATGAGACAGTTAACTTTCGGGAATTTTAATCATACAATTATGATGTTCATGTAAGTACATAGCAAGCTCCGTATCAGTTACACACATAGAAAACCCCTGAACTTAGAGAGTGCCACTGGAAGTACACTTCAAGTCTGAAAAATGGTTAAACTGTTCATACATCAGTTTACAGAAAATAACACTGTTAGCTGAAATTGCTAGAAGCCATAAATCTTTTAATAGATTTCTGTATACTTTTTAATAGAGACTTTTTATGTACTTTTTGTCTGCTATATAAACAGCAAAACATCCAAAATTAAGGATAAGAAAGGTAACTGACTTTTTGGCAGTACTAGGGTTTGAACTCTGGGCCTTGAGTTCTACTAGTTGAGCCATGCCCCCAGTCCTTTTTGCTTGTTTTAGTTATTTTTCAGATAGGGTCTTGCACTTTGTGCCTGCTGGTCTACCATCCTCCTGCTTATGCTCCTGAGTAGCTGAGATTACAGGTGTGTGCTACCACACCTGAACCAAGAAGGGTAACTGTTGAAGGGGTAAGATTGGTTGGTAAGTACATATAGTGGAATCAGTAACAAAATTTGTTGTTAAAATAATGTAACTTTAATTAAGTATATTTTGAGACAGGGACCTGATTTTTTTTTTTTTAAGTAATGACAGTAATGATGATTGACACATTGTTGCTGCTTTGTACTAGGTAATACTCTAGGTACTCCATGTGTGTTGACATGTATATTAACAACTCTTGATGTTGATAGTACTAGGCTTGAGGTATCTGAGTAAACAGAGGCTCTAGACAAGAGAAGTGACTTGTTGAGGTTTGTAGAATAAGGATTAGACCCAAGGCAATCTGGTTGCTAAATCATTCCACTTTATGGAATTATTACTTCACCAATTTTATGGCACTAAAACTGAATTTTTTTCTGGTTCTTCCCGTATGAAGGATATTGTGACTCGCTTTTAACAAAATAAATGAATTTAGGGGTACCATTTGTGTGGAAAAACTTGAAGAGTGCCATTAATTATTTGAAAAAGTTTAACACATTAGAAATGCTAAATTGCTAGGATTTCAGTAACTTTTTTGCCGTGCTAGCAATTGGACCCAGTATTTTGTCCTAGGCACTTGAGCCATACCTGTAGTCCAGATTCCAGTAACTTGAAAAGCCAAATGGAACTAGTATAACTCTCCACCCCCAATCATTTGTAGGGTTGCAGTGTCTTGTGTAAACTGTTCTGTTACCTCAACAGTTTTTAGTTCAGCATTTTGAGTACCTGTAAGGCCCTGTGCTAGGAAAAAGAAACCTTGACTCCTCGCAGGGTTTCTGATCTGATTAAAGTTTAGGCAGTAATAGTTTTTAAAGTCAGAAGTTCCATAAGGAGCTCAGCTCTTAAGGTTACATCTTTCTTATACCTGGTAAAAATTTGATGCATTTGCTAAAATATTCTTGCATTTATTTCAGGTGATATATCTGTTTTAAGAATTTTAAATGGTAGGTTACTTTTAGGGCATGAATTTGAGTCCAGCTTTTTTTTTTTTTTTTCAATCTCTTGAGTGTTCTGATGATTTTTACATAGTTTAATTCTATTGACTATTGACCCTACTCTGGTCCTTGTTTTTTGTTTTTTTTTTTTAATTGTTGAATATGGGCCTGAAACTAAATCAGAATGACTGAGTTTCCGTTATGTTTACAAGTATCTTTCAAACTAAATTTTGCCTAATATCCCAATACACATAAATAATACAGATTAAAGTTGAACTACCAAGGTTGAATTTCGGGTAAAATCTTAGTGACCTGAGGGTGGGGTGCTTTGTAGGAAACTTCTAATGTTTTGAGGAACATGCTTTGAAAGCCATTAAACTATTGCTTCTAGTATTTTCACCTGTGTGAGTGGATTTGGGACCTATGGCAACAGATCGAAAAGAAAAAAATGTAGATTTAGTTAACTGTGAAGACTTCCCATGAAATTTAGTTAGAAGTTTTCTCAATGAGAAGAGATTTATTTCTTGTAGGATTTTTAAAAAATAAAAGTAGTTATGATGTATTATTTATCAAAGAAGTAAGTGACTAGGCAGGTTTTTGTGAGCTTTTGCAGATGGTCCTGCATGATTTTTTGACTTTGATGGTGCAAAGGCGATCCACATGAATTCAGTAGAAAGTGTTTCCCTTTCAGTATGGTGTTTGACAGATTCTAAGACAATTTGTTTATAATAGTTTATAATAAAATGTGCTTTGTGCTAGGCGATCTTGCTCATTTGTAGGCTAGTGTATGTGTTCTGGGCACAGAAAGTAAGCAAGGCAAAGACTTGATGCTTAGTAGAGTAGGTCTGTTCAGTTTTGGTTTATGGTGTTTAATTTCTCATGGCTTTAATAGAATGTGAGCCCATCCTAAGTTGAGGAACATGTGTAGTTAGTTCCCATCTTAAATGATTTGTCATATGCTAAATGTCGTCTTTGTGTAGCAAAAAATCTTTTAAGTACAGTAATATTTGAGTCTCTGTAGATGGGAATTTTGGTAAGAAAAAGTTATGCGTAGTGATTTTTCCTTCTAAGAGTTAAGTAAAAATTTAAAGTGTTTGCTGACCATTGATTTTTTTCCAGGATGAAGAGTGTGTGCGTCTTGATAAAGAGAGATTGGCTGCTCGTTTGGAGGGTCATAAAGAAGGGATTGTGCAGACTGAACAGATTCGGTAAGGGTTTCTTTAGTAGAAAGTGATTCAGATACATGTAAATGTATATGGAAAAGGGATATTTAAATGCTATCTACATTTACATTTACCTCTTTCATTCATTATATACCTCTGTCCTAAGTTCAAAAGAAAACATTTGTCTCTTGGAATCCTGGGGGATTGGTTCCAGCACACCCCCACAGATACAAAAATCCAAAAATGTTTAAGTTCCTTATATAAAATGGCACGGTCTTATGTATCCATCTTGTATACATTAAATCTCCTGTATATTACATATTGTCTTAGACTTTTCACTTGTGTGACAAATTTTCTCAAGGGAGAAAATAACCGTAAGGGAGGAAAGATTTATTTTGGGTTACTTTTCAAGGTTTTAGCCCATGGTCACTTGACTCCATTGCTTCTGGGCCCATGGTGGCGAGGCAGAGCTTCATTGGGGGGCATTGTGGCTCACCTTGTGGCAGACAGGAGGCAAAGGATAGACAGGAAGGGGCCGTCCCTACTGACCTACTTCCTCTAGTTAAGCCCCACCTCTTCAAGTTTCCAGTGCCTCAAAAATAGTGCCATCAGCTGGAGAGCAAGTGTTCAGTACATGAGCCTGTGAAGGACATTTCATATTTAAGTAAGAACATTCTTGCTCCTAGCCCCTAAAGGCTCATGTTGATCTCATAATGCAAAATGCAGTCAGTCCATCTCTAAAAGCCCCCAAAGTCTTTCCTGAAAGTCCAAGTTCTAAGGCCTTTCTGAGACTCAAGGCAATCTCTTAGCTCTGAACCCCTATAAAATTTAAAAAGCAGATTACATACCTTTTTTTTTTAATGGTATTGGGACTTGAACTCAGGGTCTACACTTTGAGCCACTCCACCAGCCCTTTTTTGTGATAGGGTCTCAGGGAACTATTTGCTCAGGCTGGCTCCAAACCATGATCTTCTGCTCCCTACCCCCTGAGTAGCTAGGATTATAGGCATGAGCTTACTTCTAACATACAATGGCAGAGTAAACAGTAAACATTCCCATTCCGAAAGGAAGGAATAGGGACACAGAAAGGAGGAATGGGACCAAAGCCAGACCAGAACCCAGCGGGGGAAACACCAAATCCTGTAGGTGTGTGTCTAGTGTCATTGACATGTGGTGTCATGATTCGAGCTCCAGTGGGCTTGGGCGGCCCCACCTCTGTGGCCTTTCTGGTTGCAGCCATATTGCCTCTCTTGGACTGCCCCTGCTCACTGCCTGCAGCAATTCTTGGCAGATGTTCCAAGTTCCTGACATCTCTAACTTCCTGGGGTCTCCGTTTGTCTTTGCTTGTCCTCACAGCTTCATGTATCTCTGCCTCAAGGAATGCGTGCAGGGATCCTGACCCTGCCACACATTGCCTGGTCGCCCAGGCCTTCATTTGAAACTGGGAAGATATCTCTATGATCTGACTCTTGAATTATATATGTCTTCCAAACTAGCATTATGTGGACTATAGCGTGGGCTAACAGCTTGAGGAATAGCCTGGCCCTGGAGCCATGACTTGTGATCTCTGAATGTCTGAATGGCTGAGCTTAATGTTTCCATAGGTGGCCTTGTGTGAGCAGAACACCTTACTGTTCTCTTCGCAAAGCAAGGTCTCGTTTTGAATTTAGAGAGTATTAGTGCTCCAACTTTGTTTTAATTCAGGATATTTTTGCTATTTTGCATTACTATATGAGTTTCAGTTTCTATAAGAAAGCCTGCTGGGATTTTGATTAACATTGAATTGAACTCGTAGGTTAATTTAGGGAGAATTGACATCTTAAACATATTGAATCTTCTGATCAACTTAGTTCATTAATTTCTCACAGCAGCATTTTATAATTTGAGCATATAGGTATCATATACCTCTTTGCCATCATACATATTTTATACTTTTAGTGCTGTTACTGGTGTTTTTTAAAAATGTCAGTTCCTGACTTTTTATTGCTAGTATAGAAATACAGTTGATTTTTATATATTCTTGTATCCTGTGACCTTTAAAAACTCTATGATTAGTTCTTGTAACTTTTTCTGGATTTTCTACATCTTTATTTGGAAACTAGATGCCTTTTATTTTTGCTTTATTATGTTGTCTAGGTTGTCTAATGCTGAACAGAAGCAGTGGGATTAGAGTTCTTTTCCTGTTTCTGAGTTCAGGGAAAACATTCAGTCTTTACCATCAAGCGTGATGGTAGCTTAGATTTCTTTTTGTAGATTGTCTTTATCCCTCCATTTCTTTCTCCCTCCCTCTTTCCCTTTCCCTTCCTTCTCTTTTTCATTCTTTTTTTGGATTCTTTGTTTCTGTTTGGTTTTTTTTTAAATTTATTTTGGATAGTTTCTATTGTTGTGTATTCAACTTCAGCAGTATTTTTCCTGTGATCCTATGTATTAGTTTTTTAGTCTCTAACATTGTAAGCTTCATTTATAAACTATTTTTGCTTTTAGAAAATACATATTTCACATCTCTGCTTGTTGAACATACGTATATAGTTTTGATAAGTGTCTTTGCAATTGCTATTTCCCCTCATTTTGGCTCATAGTTTCCTCCTTCTTTACATGTCCTATAATCTTTTTGTTGTTGTTAAATTTAATGTGGATGTAATAGTTTATCTTCCAAGTAATACTGAGTAATCTTTTTGGTTTTTTAAGACAGTGTCTCGGGATATACTACAGGCTGGCCTTGAACTTGAGATCCTCATGCCTCAGCTTCCCTGGAACTGGGATTATAGGCACGCACCACTACACCTGGTGCCTTGTACTTTTTGAAGGGATACCAAAAATAGTGTGCATTTTCCCTTGTCGAAGGCTAAATATTTGTGTATTTCTCCAAATCTTCTTTTGTTTTGTTTTGTTTGTTACTGTGGGTTTTGGTTTTAAGATTTGTTACTTAAACAGTTGTCATTTAGAGCAATTATTTCCACCTGCTGAGACATTCTGAGTATTATTCATGATGTTCCATGAATATTAGTTTTTCAGCAGTCTGGCTGGTGGGAATACTGGTGCTGTGTGAGCACTGAGCCTTGTTTACGTTATGCCTGTGGATGGTTCTTTTATACAATACTCATAGGCTAATCAGTGTTCTACTGGAATACCCAAGGGAGATCTTCTGTACAGCTCTTCTTTCAGATACTCTGGCCTGTGAATTCCAACCTTGCTCTTGCTGTGATCTCAGCCATATTCCTCAAATCAGCGAGCTCACTAAATTCTACCTGGGTTCACCTTGTACCATGTCCTGGAAACTTTCAAGGCAGTAAGCTGGGGGAGTCATAGGGGATACCTTGTTTTGGTTTCATTTGTCAGAGAATCATGGTCCTTCATGGCTTGTTACATTTCTAGTATCTAGTAAACCATTGTTTCATGTATTTTGACTGGTCATTTCCAGACATTTGAGTTATTTCGTTCCCTGCTGCTTCATTGTGGCTGAAAGTCAGGCTAGAGTATAGTTTAGAAAAGAATTTGAATTTGTTTAAAGAGATGCTGGTATGCTTTGGATTTTAGGGGAGCACTGAGCAATATACAAAATGAGTCAGATGTTATAAGTTATAAGGTACTCAACGATTTTTAAATTCTTTTTCTTTATGTTATAAAAAGAGACTGTGCTTAAGATTATCATCTTATAAAGTCTGTAGTTGTAGTGTTAAAGTCTTTTTTTTATAGTTAGGAAAGCATAGCTTCTCTTTGCTATTTTGTCTATTTGGAAATCTGGTAAAGGGAAGATAAAGGAATTGTTTAAAATGTGGTTTCATCTTCCAGAGATTAAAAGGAGTATGTGTTGTGGTGGTATATTTCTTTCACCTGTGAAATACGTTGTATAGGTTGACCTATAAGTTTGAAACCTTGAAATAAGTTTCATGGAAAACCGAAGCTTTGAACTTTTTATGGGATGATTTTTTACCCCTTTCTTTATAAGGTGGCCTCTGTGGATGTGTGTGCCATAGAGCTGTTGGACACTGGTAAAGTTTCAGAAAATATAAAGAAAAGCACCCATATTAATGTGTCCTGCTCTTTGGATGAAGGTCTGAATGGGGAGAAATTTAAAAAATTTGAAGAATTTTGTTGAATTGAGCTTTCTAAGAAATTACCAGTGAGCTCATACAATGCCTCTGTATGAGCTCTTACCTGTAAAACCTGTACGATATAAAAAGCACATCAGTTTACATGCAATAAAACTGACTGGTATCTAAAGTATTTTCACCAGACGTTTATAAATAAAACAAAATAGATGTTGTGATCAAGGGATCTTTGCTGTGAAATCTAAAAAATAAATTACTTTTAAAGGTCTTTGTCTGAAGCTATGTCAGTGGAAAAAATTGCTGCAATCAAAGCCAAAATCATGGCTAAGAAAAGATCTACTATCAAGACTGATCTGGATGATGACATAACTGCTCTTAAACAGAGGAGCTTTGTGGATGCTGAGGTAGATGTGACACGCGACATTGTCAGCAGAGAAAGAGTGTGGAGGACTCGAACAACTATCCTGCAGAGCACAGGGAAGGTAAGCACCTTACCCGTCCGTCAGGGTGGTGCTCATCTGTGTGAAAGCTTTCACATTTCATCTCTCTGAAAGATCAGTAATTGTAGACTTCCAAGTATTCACTATTCCATTCAGGAGAGTGTAGTAAGAACCTGATGAAAAGAACCTGAATCACAATGTAAGCCCTTCACACATCATTTCTAAATTCAAGAGTGGTCTAGTTTTCTTGTTGAATCAGATTTGTGCCTAAACTTGACGAGTAGGGAATATTGATGGGAAAGCTCTTCGGTCTTCAGAGAGATGATGTCATCATTCGGTTTTTTTTCCCCCATAAAGTAGAAAACTTACAGAAGTCAGCCAGCAAACGTTTATTATGCATATTTTATATATTCTATTTGGTTGTGTGGATGTAGAATTTTTAAATTAATTCCTCATTAATGGTGATCTTTTAATTTTGCTCCAAGATTGCGGGTTTTCTTCCTTCCTTTGCTTTGCTCTTTCTTTGTTTTTCCTCCCTGTTTCCCTACCTCCTCCATTGTTGTCCTCCTTTCCTCCTCTTTCTCCTTCATTCTTTTCCACTGTTAGAAATAATGCGTTAAAAAAAAAAATCTTTGTACCTAACCTTTGTGTATTTTATGTCTGTACAGCCAAAGGATTAATTCCTGGAAACAAATTACTGATCAAAAACTTTAATTTTTGTAGATAAAAATCTGATAATACTAGATGCTCCAGTATTTTAGTGATTTAATAAATCACTAAAAAAAGAGTACATTGATGATTGTGTTTTTGTACATATTGTGTCCCCCTCCCCCTTCCAGTTTTATCTTAATTGTTAATTTTTCTTCACTGACAGGCAGTTGCTAGTTGTGAAACTGACTTTAACATTGTTTGCGGAAGACTTCTTTTTTTTTTAGACAAAGTCTCACTTTGTAGCTCAGGCTATCCTTGAGTTACAGAGAACATAACTATATGTCACTTGTAATTAAATGACCTGTGTACTCATTTTCATTGCTGAGTATGGCTAATACTTGAATAACTGTGACTTATTGTAGTGTTCATTATAACTCTTAGAAATCTTAAACTTATAGTGAAGAAATAAAACAGGTGATAGGCCTTTTCTTTATACCAAACATTACATTTTCTTTTATTTATATGTGCATACAATGCTTGGTTCATTTCTCCCCCCTGCCCCCACCCCCCCCTTACCACCCACTCCCCCCTCTCCCTCTCCCCCCCCCAATACCCAGCAGAAACTATTTTGCCCTTATTTCTAATTTTGTTGTAGAGAGAGTATAAGCAATAATAGGAAGGAA